CTTCAATATAAATTTTTGAGTTTCATATATACTATTTATCATGTTTTCATCACAAAAGAAGTGGAAAATTTCCCTTAGTTGGCCTCCTTTCTTACAAATCTTCTTATTTTGAGTATTGTGCATGAAAAATCTGTTTTACAGCCAACTTTTGAAACTTCTAGAAAAATGTATGAAAATCTTCTGGACCTAGGTTTTACATCAAAATCTTCCTTAAGGAGTTAGCTTTTGGTGAAAATTTGGTTTCATTGAAAAAGAGTGAGCGATTTGTAAGAAAACTTGATTTTCGTAACAGTCTCGAATCTGACAGCGGTGGAGTATTTCTTAAATAACTAAAAATCTCGGAAGGCTATAAAACTTCTAAAATATTTTTTGAAAACTAGATAAAATTATCTACAAATAATAGGAGCTCAAGTTCAGGAAAAATTCGAAATGGTCTTTTTAATTTTAATCTTTAAATGATACTGAATCTGGAAATTCTATTTCACATTGGTGTTTTGTGCTCTTGTCTTCATGGATGTGCTTATTAATATATGATTATGTCCTGCTATGATATTGCATTTATTATGGTTATGTTCCTTATCTTCTTCATTTGATGGTGTTCATGCTTATGTGGATATTACTACCTTTTTAGGTTGTTCTAACTTTAATTTAAAACGTTTAACTCAATGGGAAACTTAATTGGGTTGGTATTGGGTTTTCAATCACTTAAATAATGAAGAGATGATAATGTGTTAAGTATGGATTGAAGGAATGTGCTCCCTAATTGAAAGTTAAGTCTTGCGCAAGCAATTATCGCGCAAACCCTAGAATGAGATGGACGTATTCGAACTCTTGCAATGATTTGATTTGGTGAGATAAGGTTGGGTCCAGATGGGACATTTAGGATGATAAACTTTTTTTTTTAGAATGATAAGGTTGGATTTAGGGTGATAAAACCTTTATCTTTTCGCCGTCCCTTTTGAGGCCTTGCAGTTGGCGCTATGCGGTGTATAACCGTTGGTAGGCATTCGAGGTAAGTTCTACAACAAAGCAGCGAAATGGGGGGTTTTGAATAGTCTGGTGTCCAATTCTCGTGATTGAGAGAATGAAATCTCTTTGGGAGATTTCTAAAATACTAACATATAACCTTGTAATTCTTGTTATTGACTTGAATATCATGCTTCATTACTTGCTTACTATAAATTTGATGGTGTATTGGATTGGGAAAAAGGGATGGGGTATGTGTGTGTTTATTGGGCATTGAAAGCTTGGCATTTCATGCTAGGTATTGAAGACTATTAGACCAGTCGAAGGTAAAGCTAAAGCATTTGAGGACGTACGGCTACCCTAGTAGGACTAGAAACTAGTTTGTACACATGTTGTGAGATTGCAAGTGATAGATCCCATGTTATATTAAAGACTTGATTTTGTAATTATTATATCTATACATATCTTTTATATTACCTATTCCTTATTTTCCGTCAACTCATGTAGACCTTATATTAATACCTTGATAAGATTTGTCGAAAAGGTAACTTTGCTATCTAAGGAGATTAGACTTTGAAGGGAGGCTAGTTTGACTCCACTGATCTTTCCTGGGATCTTACGTAGTTATTAATCAAAGGACTCATTAGTGACATTTCCTATTTTGTAATCTTAGAAAAACCCTATATTTATTTGTTATTATATTCTCTGATGTTCCCGATTTTTGGGGCGTCAAAATACCTCTAGGTGTTCGAGGTAGGCCAACAACGAAATCCATGGTGATATGTTCTCATTTCCATTTCGGAATAGGGAGAGACTAGAGCAAGCCTGCTGATTTCTGATGCTCTACTTTCACTTGTTGCCATTGTAAGCATTTAGAATTGAAGTTGGCAATCTCTCTCTTCATGTTGGGCCACCAATACACTAACTTCAAGTCTTGGTACATTTTGGCATTTCCTGGATGCATAGCAAACACTAACTTGTGAGCTTTCTCTAAAATTTTCCTTTTCAAATCTGTATCATTTGGAATACACGATCTCCCTTGAAATTTCAACACAAAATCTTCAATCGTAAACCCTGGTTTAGGCTTGGTGTCAAGTTCATCACAAATCTTCTTCAAAAACTCATCATTCATTTGCTTTTGTTTGATTTCTTCAATAATGGCAGGTTGTACAGACATTGCAGCTATCAAGCTATCTTGTTCAAAAGGCACCACTTAAGTTTCAAGTTTTTCAAACTCTAGTAGCAACTCTCTCTGATTTGTGAGTAAACAGGCAAGATTCCCCACATTCTTTCTACTAAGTGCATCTGCCACAGTATTGGCTTTGCCCGGATGATAGTGGATTTGTAAATCATAATCTTTGATTAATTCAAGCCATCGCCTTTGACGCATGTTCAACTCCTCTTGTGTGAAAAAGTATTTCAAGCTCTTATGATCTGTGTACACTTCACATTTGGCCCCATACAAATAATGACGCCATATCTTTAATGCAAACACAATTGCAGCAAGCACACAACTGCAGCAAGCTCTAGGTCGTGTGTATGGTAGTTCTTTTCATGTGGTCTCAATTGTTGAGAGGCATATGCAATCACCTTGCCATTCTGCATTCAGACACAACCTAAACCCTTATAAGATGCATCACTAAAGATTACAAAACTTTCAGTACTTGAGGGAATGGTAAGGATTGGAGCTGTGGTTAATCTTGTCTTCAACTCTTAAAAAGTTGTTTCTCTCTGATCCGTCCACTCAAATGGTTCCCCTTTTTAAGTTAACTGAGTCAATGACATAGCAATTTTCGAGAAGTCTCTAACAAATCTTCGATAATAACTTGCTAATCCCATAAAATTGCGAACTTCTGACACATTAGTCAGGGTAGGCCAATTGATAATTGCTTTTACTTAATGAGGATCAACAGATATACCATCCTTATTAATGATGTGTCCTAAAAACACAATTTCATCAAGCCAAAATTCACACTTTTTGAATTTCCCATACAACTGTTTTTCTCTAAATGTTTAGAGAGTCATTCTCAAGTGTTGTTCATGATCATCTCTATTTTTCGAATATATGAGAATATCATCAAAAAATACGACAATAAATTCATCTAAGAAGGGTTTAAAAATTCTATTCATCAGATCCATGAATGCTACAGGCGGATTTGTAACTCCGAAAGGCATGACCAAAAACTCGTAATGTCCATACCTGGTTCGGAAGGTAGTCTTTTCAACGTCTTTAGCTTAACCTTTAGTTGATGATACCCCGATCTCAAGTCAATTTTTGAAAATATCTGTGCCCCCTACAACTGATCAAACAGGTCATCAATACGTGGCAAATGATATTTATTTTTCACTGTTACCTTGTTGAGTTCTCGGTAATCAATGCATAGTCAGAGAGTGTCATCTTTCTTCTTTACAAAAAGTACGGGTGTACCCTATGGTGATGTACTTAGTCTGACAATCCCTTTATCAAGCAATTCGTGCAACTGAACTTTCAATTCTTCCATTTCAGTAGTAGACATACGGTAGGGAGTTTTAGAAATTGGTTGTGTACCCAGTATCACATCAATTGCAAATTCAATTTCTCTATCTACCAGTTGTCTAGGTAATTCATCCGGAAACACATCAGAAAAGTCTCTCACTACTGGTATACTATCGAGGGTGACATCCATAGTTTATGCAGTCATTACACAACACAAGTACCCTTGACATCCCTTTCTTGAGTAATTTACAAGCTTTCATTGCAGAAATCAAATAAGGTGGAGGTACTACTCCATTACCCACAAATACAATTTCATCATGTCTTGGAGGTCTAAATAAAACTCGTTTCATTACACAATCAATAGTTGCACAATATTTAGACAATCAGTTCATTCCCAAAATTACATCAAAATAAAACTCGTTTCGTTACACACTTTAGCATCTGACACTAACCCACACCACTAGTGCATAGTTTAGCAGCTCCGTTTCATAGCATAAATGCACACAAGCCCACTAACTAATAACATTTGACACTAACAATGTATTTAACTTGTGCATTGTGGATGCTCTAAGGGACTTGCTGTTCCTCTACCAATGGGAGGTAGTTGTAGATCTACAACATTGGTGAACACGTCTACTCATCCCTTTTAAAAGTGCAATTGCAGACAGAACAAATAAGGACAATGAAGGAGAATAAGGCAAGACTACATATATAAGGTAACCCTTTTCTTCCTTGAAAGTGATCGGATTTTAATTCCAATCTCTCTACATACATTGGCCTTGTTTGACAAAGGCTTTTTTTTTTTTTTTAGGGTTAAAATTTATAAAAAGACAAAATAAGCTAAAATAGCCAATAAGATAAAATATCACATCAAACTCATAATCATTTCACTTTTTTTTCTCACAAATGTCATATTAAACTATAAAAAAAAATCATTCTTATTCTCAAACATAGTTATTTTAGCCTACTAAAATAGCCAAAAATTAAAATAGTCTATTAAAATAGCCTATTAAAATAGCCAACTTTCCAAACGAGGCCATCCTCTCAACATTTGCTCTCTTCATTCTCTCTAAGTTTCTAACTTTAACATTAGAGTGATTTTTTGATCAAACCTTTGTCGGGCAGCTCTCATCGTGTTCTTTGTTTTGCAGAACTAAATTGCTAGACAACCTTTTTCAACCATTGAACACTCTATTCTATAGCAAAAATTACACCCGCACATTTATGATAATTTGAAAAAGGATGGTTTCTCTTCAGTCCATATTAGACTGTATGTTGTATGGTGTTGTTGGGCCTCCATGGGACAACCACGGAACCTTACCCATTGGATGGTTTGGATCATCGATGCAGGTTTCATAGCGGGTAACTAAAATACTAATTTTTCGTCAACTTTATTTAACGAAAATTAATAAAAGAATTAGATTGAAACTAAATTAAAATGTTAAAATTTAAATTAATAAAATAAAAAATTTATAATTTGTTTTGTTGTATGATTCAAACTTTTACTTTTTAATTTTTTTTTTTTCAAGAAGAAATGAAAAAAAAGAAAGACAGAAAATTAAAAAAACGAGAGAGAGAGAGAGTGACAGAGAGCGCGCGCGCCTAGAGGAACTCGTGTTCTCTTCCTCTAGACGAAACCCAGGTTTTAACCATTCTATCGAAATCTACACTCTACTTTTCTCAATCTTCCATGCAAATCTAATCCTTCTTTGTTCCGATTTCTCTTCACTCTCCAAAATCTAGGGTTTTCATAGACCCTACTAACGCAATGTTCGATCAAAAGCTTCAAATTCTCGAACCAGAACTCTATTTCTCAAAATAATATATATATATATATTTGATCAAACCTTTGTCAGGCATCTCTCATCGTGTTCTTTTTTTTGCAGAACTAAATTGCTAGACAACCTTTTTCAACCATTGAACATTCTATTTTATAGCAAAAATTACACTCGCACATTTATGATAATTTGAAAAAGGATGGTTTCTCTTCGGTCCATATTAGACTGTATAGTGTTGTTGGGCCTCCATGGGACAACCCCAGAACCTTGCTCATTGGATGGTTTGGATCATCGATGCAGGTTTCATAGCGGGTAATTAAAATACTAATTTTTCGTCAACTATATTTAACGAAAATAAATAAATGAATTAGGTTGAAACTAAATTAAAATGTTAAAATTTAAATTAATAAAATAAAAAATTTATAATTTATTTTGTTGTATGATTCAAACTTTTACTTTTTAGTTTTTTTTTTTTTTTTTTTCAAGAAGAAATGAAAAAAAAGAAAGACAGAAAATTAAAAAAACGAGAGAGAGAGAGAGAGACAGAGACAGAGAGACGGAGAGCGCGAGCGCCTAGAGGAACTCGTGTTCTCTTCCTCTAGACGAAACCCAGGTTTTAACCATTCTATCGAAATCTACACTCTACTTTTCTCAATCTTCCATGCAAATCTAATCCTTCTTTGTTCCGATTTCTCTTCACTCTCCAAAATCTAGGGTTTTCATAGACCCTACTAACGCAATGTTCGATCAAAAGCTTCAAATTCTCGAACCAGAACTCTATTTCTCAAAATAATATATATATATATATTCATAGATACAGCGAATATGTATAGAGATCGAGGAGGAGGCGGAGGCGGATCTTGGAAGTCGGAGATCGTTGGTGAGCCGTTGGATCGGAAGCGTATGAACGACGCGTTAGATAAGCAGTTGCAAAAATCGTCACCGTTGACTTCGAGGGGCTTGAACAGTAACAACAACAGCAAGGACAAAGAGAGAGTGTCTCTGCCGTCCACTTGTACATCTGCTAAGAACAAATGCTCTGATGGTTGGTTGGTTGTGTTTTCTTATTGTTTTCCATTTTCTACTTATATTAGTGAATCATGATTATGAGTTTTATGGTAATATGTTTTGTTGAGATATGTAGGTTAGTCTGTGTGTTTATGCATGTATTGTGTTTAAATGCTTTGTTGGATATGAAACACTCCAATGCACTGACAAACTCAGATTTAAAGTATACATTTGAGTAAAGCTTTAGTAAATGGCAAAGTTGTAAATTTGGCATTGTAAACTTGGAATACAAATTTGAATCTCCCTTGATTTGGGTAAAACTCAAATTGATATAAGTTTTGAGTGAGGAGTTGAGAAATTTTGTTGTGTGATTTTTAGTCAAATATAGATTTGATATATGTTTTGAGTCAAGGGTTGGGGATGCCCTTAGAAGTTTGTGATTCTTTATAGGTTTGGTGGGCTATAGGATGAGGGTGATTAATGTTTGGGTGCAAAGTCATTGGCTATTTTATTTTATTGATGGTAATGGGAATGAAGAAACTTGGTGAAGAACTGTCCATTTGCTCCCTAACCCCTGCTATGCATGGAATTAATATTATCTAAAAGGTGTAGAATGAAGAATTCAGTAATGCTTGAGATTTATTTTGTGGGTCTTGGTATAATTGCCCGTGGGGCATAAGAAAAAAAGATTAAAAAAAGGGAAGAACACAACATTTTCAATGATTTTAAAGAACTTTTTATTGGTTTCAAAACTCTTTTTAACCTTTTCTCCATTTCTAAATTACTTTTCTTCCTAATCTTGATACTAAACAATGTCTAAGGGACACTTGTTAGTATTTACCTTCTTTTTATTTTTATTTTTAAAAGCATAGAAAATTTTAATAAGTGTATGCATCTCATACTAGTTAGTAGAAAGAAAGACAACTAAATGACAACTTACCTTAGTATTATTAAGGGCGATAGGCGTATTGACGCACCAAGATTTCTCGAGGCCCAGGCGCAAGCTTATTGAGGCGAGGTGTGGGCTTCATTGAGTCGAGGTGCGGGCTTCATTGAAGCGAGGCTCATGTTGACAATTGTTTTTTTAACCATTGTTTTCTAGATATCCGTCTAGCCCATCCAATATTTTTAAACATAACATATGATTTTCAATCTCCCTCTATTTATGTGATAAAGCTCACATCTAAGAGTATCTTCAATCATTCATCAGATATTTCATCAAATTTGAGTGAAAGTTTGATTTGATACGATGCACTCCGACTCTTCAATCAAATCTGTCTGGTCGTCTGTCTAGAGTAAATTTTCATCAAATTCATCCAAAAACTAGTTGTCTGGGGGGATGTCTGGGCAGACGTCTGGCCCAACAGTCACCTACAAATTTGATGAAAGGATAAATGCTCCCTTCATTTGATGAAAAAAGTACTGCTTCCTTCATTTGATACCAAACTGATGAAACGGTTAGAGTACCGTTTTCATCAGTTTTTCATCAAATTTAAATTTGATAAAAAATTTAATAAAGGATTGGAGATGGTCTAAAAAGTATTTTTTAATTTATTTTTATTTTTATGAAATACTAACTGTGATGTGGACTAAGGCCTCGTTTGAGGATTACATATTTTAGCCAAAGAGTCAAAAAATCACTATAAGTTGTCACATTACTCTCTCTACTTTTCTACATATCTTTCATAAAAAATTCAAAAAGTTACTAAAATAGCATGTTACCAAAAGCACCCTAAGATTCATATAAACCTTTTCTTTTGAAACTATGAAATATCTCTTTTAAAACCTTTTTTGTTGGGTTGAAATTCTAGATTCTAAGTTGTATACGTGGGAGCATACAATTGCTTTGGCCAGTTTGCCCCTTATATTTTATCTTGTTCCCCTCAAACTGAACCTCCATAGGACAAATACCTCTATAAAATGACTTAGAGATTGTATGTAAAGCTTTATAGGTCTAGATTCATTGCATGTAGAGCTATATAAACAAGGCAAGTCAATCTTAAAGTTCCATGTAGCTTTTTCTTCTTTTTTTTTCTCTGCATGTTCATATGAAATATATAATCCAATTGTTGCAACTTGGCCAAAGAAATGGCAAAAACAAGGATGTTGCATTCATGAAAAAGAAAGAATATATTTGATATATCCACCGAGTTTATCAACTTACTGAAAATCCCTCTCTCCCAAATATAATTGATTTCTTTCTCTTTTTAAATATTGTTTGTTTTTGCCAAATGTTAGATCACTTGCAAGTGAAACTAATGAATTCCCTGTCACTGTAGGGTTGCATGAATGGTCAACTTGCTTATTTGCCTTAGTAATGGATATATTAACTAAATACATTCATGGTGATGTCTCATGTTGTATGTTGTTCATTGATGTTATCATTCTGGAAGATTCAATGCAACTAAGGAAGGAATTGACACTAAATTAGAAATTTGGAAAGGAGCACTTCAGTCAAAAAGGGTTTGAAATTAGTAGAAAAAAAGTGAATGTATGGAATGTAACTTTAGCAACAGTAGAAGTGGAAAATAATGGAGAAGTGAATATTGAAAATTAGGAGATAATAAATATTGAACATTTTTTATTACCTAGATTTGATTATTAATAAGGATGGTGAGTTTGGAGATGATTTGATTCTTAGGCCTCGTTTGGCAACCGAACTTTTTAGCTAAAAAGTCAAAAAGTTACTAAATTAGTCAAAAAGTCAACAACCCATACCAAAAAGTCAAAGATTCTCTTTTCTCTCTACTTTTTGCACATCTTTTCGTAAAAAGTCAAAAAGTCATCCCAAATATACTAGTTTTTTTTAGCTCATATTTTAGCCAAATAGCAAAAAACTTACTAAATTAGCCTGTTCCCAAACGAGGCCTTAGAATCAAAATAGGGTGGCAAGTGGAGGAGTGTGTTTGGCATATTATGTGATCAACGAAATACCAATAAAATTGAAAGGAAAATTTTATAGAACATCTGTAAGGCTAGTGATGCTTCACGGACAGTGTTGAGCAATTAAGAAACATGTGCATAAAATGAGTGTAGTTCAGATTAGAATGTTCAACTGGATGTGTGATAAGACTAGAAAAGCTAAAATTATAAATGATTATGTTCGTGAAATGGTTTGTAGTAGCACCTAGTGAAGATAATTTGAGAGAAAACACGTTAAGATGGTTTGGTTATGTACAACGAAGACATATAGATGCAATGGAAAGGAAGAGTGATAGGATCACCATAAATAGTGATTTTAGGGGGAGGAGAAGACCTAGGGTGACATGGGATGCAATAGTGATTGTAGGATATATTGGTTTTTTGGGTTTAAGGGTGATATCCTCAAATTAATTGTATGATTTATTTTTAATTTTTGTTGGGTTTTCATTTAGATTTGTAGAGTTTCAAGGTGAACTAGAACTCTTTTTTCCGTATTTACATTTTTTATGGTTCTGAGTTTTTGTAGATCAATAGTTCTGAGTTTCTTTTTTGTGTCTAAGGTATGATCTCTTTAAATTTATGCAATTATGTAGATCTGTAGAGTATATTGTTTATCCATAAGATTCTTGTGCAGTTGAGCCATAAGTGATCTTAAAAGAACCTTTACAAGTTTAGTGGCCATCCTTCAATGCAACTATACAAAAAGCAAACAATTGCCAATCCAACAATTACTTTTAGCTTGGCATGGTTAATCACCTCCTCAACTGTAGTCTGTATATGTTTCAGTTGCCCGGAATCCAATAGGTATGAGGTTTGGCTCTTCTCTCATTTGCCCGGTTCATAGGCTTAGGTTGGCCTTTGACCATCAAGTTTACATTCCTGGGGTGGGTCCAAGGGACCCTGCCTAGGCTAAGTTCTCGGTTTAAAAAAAAAACTATCTATGTTTCTGTATCACTCTTTTAAGGGGAATGATTCATGCAATTGAACCCTCTTATTTTATTTACTTATTTTTTAACTTTAACCATATCATAATGGAACCTAAATGACATAGAAGGATTCATGCAATTGAACCCCAAAAAAATCAGTGATACCTGGATACAGGAGTACTAAGTGGTTCGAAACAACCCCTGCCAACAGATTGTAATTGGTCATAAACTTGATTTATTTATTTTTTATTTTTTTTTATAAGCTATCTTGCACTTAGGTTCATTATGTTTTTCACGAAATAAAACTAATATGCACTGCAGGATAGCAGTGCAATTTTGGTGGGTGAAACCTGATCTTGCATTATTTTGCTTTGTTAGGGTCCTGATGTTTTGGAACACACAATTGCTGGAAGTAGTCTAAAGTGTATACCCAACCCAAGGTTTATCAAACCCACTAGATTGTATAATATTGATTGGTTGTGTAATACTCTAGGTGAAATAGTCATTGATGGATCTTGAATACCAGAGTAAGTGGTCACACCAGAAACCATATCAACTATTAACCTTTGGCTTTACTTGTTTCTTTGAAGGTTGAGTTGCTGTAGTTGGTAACAATCTTATGTTGTATAATTACTCAACCACCTGTGAGTCTTAAATTGGCGGTATACTTGCTTTGTTCTCATTGAAGTTCATATTGCTTGCTTTATTACGTATATAGATAAAATGTCATCAGATGCAATTAGAGATGCGTTCAACTGATTCTAGTGACTCAGATAATGACTTGTTGGACTTGTTAATGTTAATGGTGAGCAAACTAACCGGATACAACATCTTCCTTGAAAAGCAGCAACAAAGAATATCTAAATTAGCAGGTTATGAATGCAGTTACCTCTTAGTCCATGGACATTCGGAAACAAAATATGATCTCCGCAGGGATGTTTCTACTTTCGTGAGTTTGCTGATGAATTGAAAAAGAGATAACTTATTTAGCTTGAAGAAAACCATTTATCAGTGGAGGAATTGTTGGCAATATTCATTGTGGGTTATAGCACTAGGCATAGTGTGTTGGTTGACAGGCTTGCACATCCATTTAGCTTGTTCATTGTGGGTCACAGCACTAGGCATAGAGTGGTGGCTGATAGGTTCCAACATCCAGCAAGCCATTCTGTTCAACTGTAATTTTTGCCCA